ATATGCACGTAAAAAAGACTGGAAAGAAATACACTAAAATAATATTTATTGTCTGGAGGAAAGTGACCATATTACCTTGATTGTATGTTGTTTAAACTGAATTACATCTTGTTCAAAAGGCAATTCCTTCATCGTCCTAGATTCCTCCAGCTTTCTTTTGTTTGGCTACCAAGTTTTACATTTAACTCTTTAAATATCACTGCTATCCATCACTCCCTTTTCACCTTTGCTGCCTCACCCTTGTCCTGCCCTGATAACTTCCAGGCAGGATTATGATGCTGGTCCCCTGAGGAGGCTCCTCTAGGTTGACCCATCAACACTCCCAGCCCTTCTCCCTTCTCCTCCTCTGCCACAGAGGCTAGAAAGCAAACAACTCCACATCCCAGCCCAACAAAGCCATGTGACACGGTTCCAATGAAGAAAGCATTGGTAGAAATCTACTGGAGAATTCTAGGGACATGTTTGCTCTTCTGAACATGGAAGAACATGACAGGGGCTATCCACCTGCCAAGGATGGTGGAAGAAAAGGTTGAAAGGGCCTGGGTCCCTGACAGCATCATTATAGCAGCTGCTTCTGAACTTCTTATTGTGTGAGAAAAATAGCCCTTATGTTTTAGTTGCTGTTTGTTTTCTGCTACTTCCAGCTTGATGTGCTGCTGACTAATATCTTGCCTAGCTGCTTTCCTGCTTCTAGTCTTACATCACTCACATCACCCTATAATTTTTATGAGTGAAGGATGAACAGACCAGAAAGGAAAAGTAAATAAATAAATATTGACAATAAAAGTAAAGGACAGCTGACACGTGAAACAATGTTGAAGACCTAAAAAATTACAAAAAGTATGAAAAAAAATTTTTAAGAGTAACCACAGTCCATTTAGTAAGGTTTAAAAAATTCCTACACACATCATTAGTTACTCAGGGCATCAGTACCAGCACCAGAGTGTAGCACAGTTAGTGGAGACTCTCAAGAAATATTAATTCTACAAAAATATTCAGTCTACAGTGGATACAATGGTGAGTCAAACATAAAAGACATCACAGCAGTGGAGCCTAGAGTTGAATCGGGAAGGAATACATGAACAAAATAATTATGCAAGTAAATGATTAAAATCTGTGCTACAAATTATCAAATTAAAGCATGGTTTTCATAAAGGAGAACCTGGTCTAGTCCAAGTATTAGTGGGGACAGGGGGACCAGGCGCTACACTAAGCTCTGCTGAGATAAATTTGAGTAGGTTACATTCTGTGCCTTTGGGGAGTTGCAATAAATAACTAAGAAGCCCAGTAAACAAACAACTACAGTTAAGTACAAGGAGCACTCCAATGGGTGTGATCAAAGGCTATGGGGACACCGAAAAGAAATGACTGATTCACTCAAGGATTGAGTTACCCTGGAAATTAATCCACATTCAGTACATCATCACCAAATGTTACCAAATTAATGAACTATGACTGAATTTAAGCATGAAACAAACCAGAAAATCTAAATTCTGACATATCAAAAAGTAATGAAATTGGTTAATGGACTTTGAAGCACGCAGTCCTAGCTCAGAAAATAATTGTGAGAATTAGATCACCCCCTCTAAGCTTGGTCAACCATCCAAATGACTAGATTTGATCCATGATTGTATGCATTTGAGATTAAGACAAAAATAAAGGAAACAATGAAGTAGACCAGACTGTATACACAAGTCAGGATCAGACAGCAAGGCAGAAAAAGCCAACATAAGTTTACTTTGTTCTTTTATTGAGATCCAACTAAAAGACCTACACTTAAAAAGATTTAATACTAAGAACTAAAATCAGCCTTTTCATTCACTGTAGTTTATAAGATTATCAATAAACACCCAGAGACTTGGACCTTACATTAGTTCTGCCAGTGATCAGCTGTGTGAAGACAGAATCACATGGTTTCTCTGAGTCTCAGCCTCCTTATCATGAAGAGTAATTTCCTCAGTAATATCCAATAATTCTAAAATAGACTTTCCAGAAAAACCATCCACCACTGTATCATTTTCACTGATTTCAAATATTGGCTAATTGTAACTGTAAAAAATCAGGAGAATACAAAGACATTTTACCAATAATTTGCCAGGCCACGATACATCAGATTTCACAAACAATAACCTGAATTTTCCTAAGATAAGTTGGCAAATGTATAATGCCTGATAATTAAGAAGCTATGCAGTCAAAGAGTAGTTCTGGAGTCTAGTGAAGTCTATGTGGCCTCATTAACCAGGAAGCACACACTTTCGATCAGGTGGAATCTTTTTGATGAAATCTATGTCCTTCTCTTGGATAAAGGAAACAATAAAATAATCACCCAAATATAATGTCACATATCATTGTACAGTATTATGAAGATAAATGAAACTTGCATATAGTATTTCTGCTGTAGGACATACCTCTTCCCACCTCAGTCATTTTTACTTAGAGTGTTTGATAAAGTTGCTTAAAGTGAATAAGGAGTTACAATATGTGTGCCAAAGAGGAGTTTGACAATTTAAACAAAATGGAATACGGTTTTGTCAGTAGATTCAAAAAATGACACAGTAATTATATGTAATGCCACATAATAATCCGAATGTAATTGCAGTGTAATTTTTCTGACATGCATTTACTATCCTTCTCCATCGTAATTATTATGCACAGATAACGTTACCTTGTTTTTCAAGTTCTCCACTATCTCCTTGAGGTGCAAACTTTTCAAATATGTAGATTCATTTTTAAATATATGGTACTTACAATACCTATCTTATCACAGGACCTCAACATATGAGTATCAACAACAGCAATACTAATATTTATGCAAATACCTAATGTTCCAGAAAGAATGACAAGGAAGGGGTACCATTTTCATAATTTTTTGTAATGTAACTTTTTTGTAACTTTTTGTAGTATATGATAGAATGGTGTGGGACTTCCCTGGTGGCGCAGTGGTTAAGAATCCGCCTGCCAATGCAGGGGACACAGGTTTGAGCCCTGGTCTGGGAAGACCCCACATGCTGTGGAGCAACTAAGCCCATGCACCACAACTACTGAACCTGTGCTCTAGAGCCCGCGAGCCACAACTACTGGGCCCACGTGCCACAACTACTGAAGCCCACGCACTGCAACAAAGAGCAGTGTGCTACTGTGTGCTACTGTGCTCCACAACAAGAGAAGCCACCGCAATGAGAAGCCCGCGCACTGCAACAAAGAGCAGCCCCCGCTCGCCGCAACTAGAGAAAGCCCGCGCGCAGCAATGAAGACCCAATGCAGCCATAAATAAATAAATAATTTTTTTTTAAAAAAGTGGTTTATCCTGCTCTTCCCATGCCATCTGTTCTCTCGTCAGTGAGAGGGTCCGTGTCATCCACGATGTAAGAGGGTCTGGCTAGTGTGAATGAGGTGCCTCACGAGGTTCTCAATGGGAAAAGCATCTCTGCTGCACATGCTTCAAGGCCGACAGCCACAGACCCTCTGAGCACACGCAAGCCTGGTGGACAAGCACAGCTGCGTCCTCACCCCTTTTCCTATCCGGACCCACACCCGCTCCATAAAACGTCATGTTAATGCTGTGATATAAGCAGATGCTACATCCTTTGACAAACTCAGAACAAAATTATAATGTGTGGAAATACAAATTTTATATAAAGATGAAAAAATGGATGAATGATGTAAAAATTCATTAAGTTCTGTGATGGTTAATTTTATGTGTCAACTTAGTTAGACTATGGTGCCCAGTTGCTTGATCAAACAGTAGTCTAGATGCTGCTATAAAGGTATTTTTTTAGATGTGATGAGCATTTACTATCAGCAGACTATAAGTAAAGTAGATTATCCTCCAGAATGAGGAGGTCGGCCTCATCCAATCAGTTGAAGGACTTAAGAACAAAGACAGGTTTCCTGAAGAAGAAGGAACTCTCCCCAAGACTGCACCACAGATATTCTACCCGAGTTTGCAGTGTTCAGACTCAAGACCACAACATCAAGTCTTATCTGAATCTCCAGCTGCGGGCTTGCCCCAGATTTCAGACTTGCCAGCCTCCACAATAGCATGAGCCAATTCTTAAAATTTCCCCATCAATCAATCAATCAATCAACCTCAATCTCTCTCTCTGTACACACACACACACACACACACACACACACACACACACACACACACACACACACACACACACCCATATATAATCCCCTACTGACTGTCCGGAGAATCCTGACTAATACACATTTATTCAGAATGTTAAATATATTAAGTATCTTCTTTGAAAAACATATTTTTTGGCTTTGTTTAGGACATTGGTAAATTCTGTGCCAACCCTAGTTTTAAGGTTTGGATAAACAATATTAAAAACTTCATGAAACCAGCTGAGAATAAAGTTGACATATTGAGCTTATGTACTTTCTAAAATTAGATTTGTGTACACAAATATATATTGTGTACTTTCTATAGAAACTTAGTTTATATATTTTCTATAGAAAAAATAGTATGAAAACATGAAAGAATTCAGGTAATCATGACTCCCAGTTAATGACATCAGACTCTACTTCTTCTGTGGGATACCACACACAGCAAAGTTCAGTCATTTTGTAGAAATACAGTAGCATAATCATATTCTTATGTGTAACAACTGCAAAAAAATGTTTTAAAATCAGGGTGTATATTACAATATTTTCCATTGTAAGGCCAGTTTTACATCTTAAGGAGCAGTTCTTCTTGATGTACACCACTACTTTTCATATCAGAAAACACACTTTAAAAAAAATTATCTTTATAAGTAGAAAGCAAATTACAATGGCTTTAATTTTAGACCAAAGTTGTATTTTATTAAGATTATAAATGGTGTTTTAAGAACGGCATCTTATTATTTTATATATAACAGACTGATATCAAAAAACATGTTGAAATTAAAAATGTTAAATTATTTTTTAATCGCCCACAGAAATGCTGTGGTGGGCATCTTTCAGAAAGAAAGGCCCCTCTCAGGGGCCTTGAGGAAAGAGGTACTTACTAACAGCAGAGTCATAGGAGGTCGAGTTGTGCTCTCCTCTCATGAAGGGATATGGCGACAGGTAAGCATGCATGCAGTTCTTCAATGGTGGCTGATTGGCTAGGAAGGAGAACAAAACAAAGGCATTTGTTACTGAGAAGCTGAGTGAAGGTTTGTTCCTAACAGAAGAGAAATACAGGATCTGGGGGTACACAAGCAAAATAGAACTATAGGTTAGATCGACAAATTCAGAGAATGATTGAGTAAGGGAGGAAACTTCCTTGAAAACCTCATATGGTAAATAAAGCACAGGGGACCTGGAAAGTGGATTCATTTAAAACATCTAGCGCATGACCTAATTCAAGGGAGAGAACACCCTTAATATCACCCCAAAATTGAAAGCACCAGATTTCATTCGTTTTCACAACTATATTCTCCAATTCCTAACATAATGCCCAGCACATAGTAGGTATTCCAAAAACAGTCATTTAAAAATCTAATAAATTTCGATTTAACCTTTATTGGTTCTAATTAATAGAAAATTTCTTCTATATTCTATTTTCAGGGAAAAGATGTAAATGATAGACCATACAAGTTAATAATTCAAGTACATTTTTAGCATTTGAAGAAACCACAAGAAAGAACTTTAATGTTGTTTGAAATCTTGAAGATTTCATCATATACCCTCTTAGGAGTAAAATACTCTTCCCTTCTCTAAGTCTTGGCAAACTCTTCCTCTTGCAAAGTCTGACCTACTCCACTTTACCAAAGTCTAAATAATCTTCACTGGCAGATCACAAGCTTATTCTCCTCCCCCAAATGACAATCAGAAACTCTATGAAATATTTCTCTCAAAATGCCATTTCATCATTACTTTGTTCCTTTTACATATGCCATTTACCGTTGACTCGTCTTCTGTGATCTCATATTTGTATGTTATATTCCATGATCTTGACTATTGTTTAAATACCATACTTTGATTTATCACAGGAGTATTTTGATAAGAAGACTGATAATTTCAACCCACAATAAGTCTGAGGGTAATAAACAGTTCTTTCATTGCTGGATGCAATAAGATAAAGGCTAGCTATTTTCAGTGAATTGATTTTCAAAGATTAACACAATATAGAAAAAGCAGTTGAAAGAATGCATCATATTTTTAAGGAGCTATTCTACTTCAAAAAAGAACTTTAAAGTTTCTATGAGAGAATGGAAACATCAAAAGCAAAGCATTTCTTAATATTGCCCACAAACTTGGTTTAAGCCCAAACAGAGCAAGCTTTCATCTGCCACTGCTGATCACTGTTTTGTTATAAAGAAGATTTTTTTAAACTTTGAAGCTATTAATATAAAATAATACATCTTTAATTCTGGATTTTTAAACTTGGGATTTCAAGCCCCCCAAAATAGCCAAAAGAAATAAAAGCATTTATTTGCAACATAGCAATAATAGACACTCGAAAAAAATACTATAGATAATATCTGTTTTGTTTGTTAGGGCTGGTGTATTTTAAACTTGAGCGAGGAAACAGCGGATTATTCAATTCTGCCATAAGTATTCAGACTCCAATTTCATGTTAGAAAATAAAATAATTATTCCTATAGCCATTTCTACTTAATAAAAAGGAATCACTTTATGAACATTTGGAAGATATCCTACTGAGATTCTACAACTAAGAATCCAATCCTATTTTATAAGTGACATGCACTAAATGAGAAACTGTTCATTTTTATTTTAAAGCCAAGGGGGAAAATAAAGCTGAATTCCACTTACTGTACCAGAACTGCCAGATATTGGAATCATTCTCTTCCACAATCCCATTAAACCAACATCTCCAGAAGAATCCTTCATGGTGGAAAGTGACGTTTTCTATCTGTACAGAACGCAAATGAAGTAACTTGCCATCAACACAAGGAACATAATCTAAACAGTTACCTCCAGGAAATTTTTTAAGCAATGTATTTTTTCCCAAGTAATGATGATCAGTAGCTTTCTACATATCTCTTCTATGAAGAAATAGACATTCCACTACCATTTTCGGATTTCAAGAAGATACATAAAGCTATGCTCGTTACTATTGAGTACAACAATATTTTGAAGAAGAAACGCACATTCTGTTCACCTGAACACTTTCCCACTTCAGTCGCAAGAAGCCAATAATCTGATCCAAAAGCCACCAAAAAGAGTAAAACCCCCAAAGCACCAAAGAGAGCCCCAAAGAAGATGGCAATGTTTAGTCTCATTTTCAATTCACTGGCTTCCCTTTAAATAAAATAAGAAAATAAAAAATAGCTAACACCTAGCTCCTCAACCAAAAAGAATAAAGATTTTTGAATAGGCAGAATCTTCTTGAGAAGTGTCTCTTAGCTTCTGTTTCGGTGGCTTCGCACTCGCACCCAGCCGGTGGATTTGTATTGCCTTTGCTCTCCCCTGGAGGGACTCCAGCCCAGCAGCTGAGAATGGCTGACTATTTTAGGATACTGATTGAGGAGCTGTCTCTCTCCCATGGGGATCAAAAAATAACTGACCTTCCCCTGACTGTGGAGGGCAGTATCAGGAGCTGGCCAGAATCATCGTTACTGCTGCTGGGTAATCCATAGAAGTGGAAAGAAGACGGAATGGTATGAGGTCATTGACGGCACTGGCCCAAAGTCTTAAGTGTCTGAACAAGCTCCTCTTAATCCAGAATGACCATTACAAACCCAAAGACACTGAAGACTCTCTTTGAAGATATATAAACCGCAGCTATAAAGAACCACAAAGACCTCTCTTGGATATAACTGAGGTTGTAATTAATATCTTAATCCTTTTTGGATATTTGTGGGATATAAAATAATTAGTGGGTTGACAGATCTAACGTAACAGCAAGTACAATTCAGGTTTTAACCTATACATTCATAAGTGTATTTAAAAGATCAAGAATGTGGTAACATAAACTACTTAAAGTAGAAAAAAAATACTTTTATGTAGCATACACTATGACATAAAAACAGCACTTTATATAGCAGCTCCCAGATCTTGTACAAGTTATTCCAAATAATCATCTCAACAGTGGACTAATGAAAAAAAAGTCTCAAAAATATATTACTTTCTGGATTAGGATGAAAGAATATGGTCTACTTTTCGTTTCCTTCATTTTAAATATTCAACCTCCTCAAAATACGGATCTTACCTGATACCCATACAAGTCACCAAATAGCAATGAATCTATCCTTTCTTCATGTCTATCCTCTATAGCTCACTTCTTTGTTTTTGTTCCATGTCTAAATATGCCTGAGAGCATTTTTTTAAGTATTTGTGTAATATTTTAAAACTTTCAGTCTCTATAGCTATTGTTTTTTATAATCCCAGTTGTAACACGGGTCACTGCATCTTCTCAAGAGGCATCTGAACTCTACCGACTTCCTTCACCACTTCTGTTTGACATGGGATAGATCCTTAGATAATGAAATTAGCAAGGGCAAAAAGACAACTCCTTAGTAAGGATGTAGGGCCTTGACCAGCTCCAGCTATATGCAATCAGAAGTGCCCAAGAGTCAGGAATGGAATTCTAAGTCATAGAATCTTTTTTTTCTGAATTTTATTTCATTTTTTTATACAGCAGGTTCTTATTAGTTATCTATTTTATACATATTAGTGTATGTATGTCCATCCCAATCTCTCCCAGTTCATCCCACCACCACCACCCCACACACTTTCCCCCCTTGGTGTCCATACGTTTGTTCTCTACATCTGTGTCTCTGTTTCTGCCTTGCAAACCCGTTCATCTGTACCATATTTCTAGATTCCACATATATGTGTTAATATACGATATTTGTTTTTCTCTTTCTGACTTACTTCACTAAGTCATAGAATCAGTGACTGTGAGAGTTAAATGGAATTTGAGAGTACATCTGTGCTGATCTCTCATCTAATGCTCAAATCTCCTTTATAAGATTCTGCAGATCAACAAGCCATGCCATTTTCAGCCGTTTCATTTAAGGACATCAATAACGTCCATAGCTCTGCCTTAATTTCTGCCCCAAACTCCTTCCCTAAAGGTTCCAGTCTTAATCGTATTCTGTCCTCCAAGGCTGTACAGCACGTTTAAACGCTGTCGTATGACAGAGCTTTCTGATATTTTGAAGAAGCAATCATTTCGTGTCTCCCTCAAACCCCACTCCACCCCTTAATATAGGTCTTCATTTTTCTAAGCTAAACATCCCATTCCTTTAAACATCCCTTAGATTGGAACAACTCCCAATCTCCTTGCTGTCCTGATTCTTTGCTACAATCTGCAAGTACTTGATTGAGGTGAGGCATAGCGAAATATTCCGGGTAGAATCTAACGAAGTTAATATCACCACCTTTCTTATTTGGATGCTGTGATGAGCAGAATAACGGGTTCCCAAAGACGTCCATACCCTAATCCTAAATATAATCACGTAATCTGTGAATGTGTTACCTTACATAGCAATATCCTGGATTACACAGGTTGACCCAATCTAATCACATAAATCCTTAAAAGAAAAGTAGAGACTCTTTCCTGACAGTACTCAGAGAAAGAAATGTGACCACAGAAAAAGGGTTGGAGAGTCGCTGGTTTAAAAATGTGGGAAAGAGACCACACGCCAAGGATTGTGGGCAGCGTCTAGAGGATGGAAGAGAGAATAAAACAGATTCTCTCCAAGAGCCTCCAGGAAGGACTGTTGCCCTACCAACACCCTGACTTTGGGGATTTCTGACCTCTGGAACTGCAGGATAGTAAATCTGAGTTGCTTTTAAGCCACTGACTTTGTGTTAATTTGTTACACTGTTACAGCAGCAATAGGAAACTAACAAAGATGCTGTTCTATAATTAATACAATATAAGATCAAATTAAGGGGGTTTTTGTCGGGGGGGGGGGGGAGGCATCTTCAAAAAGTGCTTACTGAGAACTTGGGGGGGGCCAGGCATTTTATCAGATACGCAGGGCCTGACCTTGAGGAGTTCATGAGCTAGTGAGAAAAAAGGATTCTTCAGAATGAGGTACCTAAGGCCGTAATAAGCTTCTGGCCGCCCCAGTCACAGCCTCCTGCTCAGCCACACCCCCTCCCAAGACGACTGTGGTTGTGGTTCTGCAGCTTTACTGTAGGTGACAATGCTGTTGTTTGCAGAGGAAGAGGAATCCTTTTAGGAAGGTTTTATTTATTTTATTTATATTGTAATGACATGTAAAAATCCATGCATTAATACTAAATCTTTAACACACACACATTCACAAACACACACACAAACAACTGGATTTTTAAAATAAGTAGAAAGAGTGCAGGATCTATTATTGCTACAGTTCATCTCAATTTTGGTTTCGGTCACAAACAAAAAATCGTCTTTCTGGATGAGGTCTATCAACTAATATTTTTTCACCATGTTTTGGTGTATCCAAAAAGGTATAACCATCATTATCAAAACATATATTTATCAAAGCAGCTACTAATGTAACCAATCTAATTGTTTCCAACCATTCGTTCATGGGCATCCATTTGAGAAAGATATCATAGACTACTTCTGACATCATCAAACTGAACTCCTTTAGCTCAGTTATCCTCAGTGCTTCTCACAGTGCTTGACACACAAGGGGCACTAAGATAAAAAGAAAAATCCATTTGTATTAGGACTCTTGGCTGTGATACAAATACGTAGCTTCCTGAGCTAGCCAACTGGTAATCCATCAAGAAGAAATGGCTCTGATCTGGCCTGCTGTTTGTGAAACTTGGAGAAGTGGATTTTAGCAGGGTCTGTGCTTCCTCTGTAGATAACCTCCCTATCAAACTACCACTGGCATTTTTCACAGAACTAGAACAAAAAATTTCACAATTTGTATGGAAACACAAAAGACCCCGAATAGCCAAAGCAATCTTGAGAACGAAAAACGGAGGTGGAGGAATCAGGATCCCTGACTTCAGACTATACTACAAAGCTACAGTAACCAAGACAGTATGGTACTGGCACAAAAACAGAAAGATAGATCAATGGAACAGGATAGAAAGCCCAGAGATAAACCCACCCACATATGGTCACCTTATCTTTGATAAAGGAGGCAGGAATGTACAGTGGAGAAAGGACAGCCTCTTCAATAAGTGGTGCTGGGAAAACTGGACAGGTACATGTAAAAGTATGAGATTAGAACACTCCCTAACACCATACACAAAAATAAGCTCAAAATGGATTAAAGACCTAAATGTAAGGCTAGAAACTATCAAACTCTTAGAGGAAAACATAGGCAGAACACTCTATGACATAAATCACAGCAAGATCCTTTCTGACCCACCTCCTAGAGAAATGGAAATAAAAACAAAAATAAACAAATGGGACCTAATGAAACTTCAAAGCTTTTGCACAGCAAAAGAAACCATAAACAAGACCAAAAGACAACCCTCAGAATGGGAGAAAATATTTGTAAATGAAGCAACTGACAAAGGATTAATCTCCAAAATTTACAAGCAGCTCATGCAGCTCGATAACAAAAAAACAAACAACCCAATCCAAAAATGGGCAGAAGACCTAAATAGACATTTCTCCAAAGAAGATATACAGATTGCCAACAAACACATGAAAGAATGCTCAACATCATTAATCATTAGAGAAATGCAAATCAAAACTACAACGAGGGGCTTCCCTGGTGGCGCAGTGGTTGAGAGTCCGCCTGCCAATGCAGGGGACACAGGTTCATGCCCTGGTCTGGGAAGATCCCACATGCTGCGGAGCGGCTGGGCCTGTGAGCCACGGCCACTGAGCCTGTGCGTCCGGAGCCTGTGCTCCACAACGGGAGAGGCCACAACAGTGAGAGGCCCGCATACCTCAAAAAAAAACAAAAACAAAAAAAACAAAAAATCTACAATGAGATATCATCTCACACTGGTCAGAATGGCCATCATCAAAAAATCTAGAAACAATAAATGCTGGAGAAGGTGTGGAGAAAAGGGAACCCTCTTGCACTGCTGGTGGGAACGTGAATTGGTACAGCCACTATGGAGAACAGTATGGAGGTTACTTAAAAAACTACAAATAGAGCTACCATATGACCCAGCCATCCCACTACTGGGCATATACCCTGAGAAAACCAGAATTCAAAAAGAGTCACGTACCAAAATGTTCACTGCAGCTCTATTTACAATAGCCAGGAGATGGAATCAACCTAAGTGTCCATCATCGGATGAATGGATAAAGAAGATGTGACACATATATACAATGGACTATTACTCAGCCATAAAAAGAAACAAAACTGAGTTATTTGTAGAGAGGTGGATGGACCTAGAGTCTGTCATACAGAGTGAAGTAAGTCAGAATGAGAAAAACAAATACCGTATGCTAACACATATATATGGAATCTAAGAAAAAAAAAAGTCATGAAGAACCTAGGGGTAAGACGGGAATAAAGACACAGACCTACTAGAGAATGGACTTGAGCATATGGGGAGGGGGAAGGGTAAGCTGGGACGAAGTGAGAGAGAGGCATGGACATATATACACTACCAAACGTAAAATAGATAGCTAGTGGGAAGCAGCCGCATAGCACAGAGAGATCAGCTCCGTGCTTTGTGACCACCTAGAGGGGAGGGATAGGGAGGGTGGGAGGGAGACGCAAGAGGGAGGGGATATGGGGATATATGTATACGTATAGCTGATTCACTTTGTTATAAAGCAGAAACTAACACACCATTGTAAAGCAATTATACTCCAATAAAGATGTAAAAAAAAAAAAAAAGAATCCATAGTAGACTCTTATTTAGAAATAAAATAGAACTATCCAGGGGTCAAAAAGTATCTTTCTTCTTTAGAAAACTGGACCATTTGTCTACCATTTGAAACTCCCAATTCACCGTGATTCCTAAAATGCTCCCAGCAATCATTCAGTATCTCTTCCCCAAGTTCTCTCAGCAGCTTAAAAAACTGTCTATACTCCAGGGTGACTGTTAAACAGCTGCTGTGTCCTCATGATCTCTTTACAAATTCAGACGTTGGATCTTTTCCCTTTCAGCCTCTTTTCTAGACCAGGTGATGAGGGGAGACAGACATACCTTAGCACCAACCTCAACTCACAGTAATCCTATAATAGAACAACTCCATGGCTCCTGTACGTGCCCACTCCTTTAGTGAATACTGAATCTGTTTTACGCTGATATGATTGTCACAGTGAATCTGCAAGAGCACAAGCATAAGCATGGTGTCTCAGGTTCAATCCTGTGGGAGACCTTGATGGTCAGAAATGTAAATGGAGGTGAATGATAATAACTAATACTCATGAGCATCTACTGTGTGCAGACACCATCCCAAGCATGTTAGATGCCTTGAGTACAAGTAAGTCTTCAGTAGGTAGAATATGAAATAGTCCATGTCTTGGGTGGGAATTTCAGCATCTAAAGGTCTTCTTGGTAGGAGTTAAAGATGTTCCTGGTCGCATGTAGAAGGCCAGAGGTAAGCAAAGAGAGCTCTGCATGGGGTCCCACTGCCAAAGGCAATTCACAATAATTTGTTTGTAACTTTCAGTCTGTCCTCTGGATCCCTGAGGCTCCATGAGAAGGCAACGTGGCTGACTGAGGACCAGGAAATGACCCTCCAGGATCTGGTGAACCTGGGACAAGAACAGGAACTGCAGGGACCAGCTCTCATTCCCACG